ACCGAGAAAGACATCGTCCGACACGTGTTTCGACACATTTGGGGACAATCCGTGGTCAACGCTTTAGCTACACTCGAGTTGTAACTAATGACTAGAAATCTATGGGCTTATATGTGTCTATGGGCTTTTTCTTTAAACAATTAAATATTTTCTCATTTATTTGATAGATAATTTATGTTATATAACTAGGCTGACCAACTCGAAATTTACAAAACAAGGACATTTTAAACAAATCTGACATAAATTCCGGAACATTCCGGGACTTTTTATATAATTTTCAGGGATATTTTCCGGAACATATTTTTCTAGCTAATTATAATTAAATAAACTGTATTAAAAACAATGTATACTATATTTTAATTGGATATTTGCTTTAAAACAAATTTTAAATTATTAACACTTGTAAACCCAAACGATTTAATAATTTTTAATTTCTATGCAAATGCTTGAAAAATATTGTTTTTACTTTGACCGTCCCTTTCCCAGTCTGACCCTCGCCGGGACACAGGACAAAATGCTCAAACCCGGGACTGTCCCGGCCAAACCAGTTGGACGGTTGGTCACCCTATATATAACCTTGAATGCCCATAGTGTCACACATTACGCCCTTTATGTTTGTATATTGTTTTTCCTGTTGAGTCGCTGTTTATAATCAGTTTTATATGTATATTAAATTTTGAAGTTTAAAATAATATGTTTAAATTATTATTTATTAATGAGAATTTAATAACAATCAGTTTATATGGAAAAACATTATTTACAATTTTTCAGTGTTTTTTATCAGTTTTATATGTATATTAAATTTTGAAGTTTAAAATAATATGTTTAAATTATTATTTATTAATGAGAATTTAATAACAATCAGTTTATATGGAAAAACATTATTTACAATTTTTCAGTGTTTTTTTTAGTAAATTTATTAAATATAATATATTTTGTTATTTTGGTTTCAAATAAACCAAAAAACACTTGAAAACAAATGTTTGATCCATATTTTGGAAATATGTTTAAATTTTGTTTTTATTATTTTCCCTGTTCTCATTTCAAATAATGAATTATGAGATTTAGGATTGTGTTGTGAGTGCTATTTGAGTCTATATTATATTTATTTATGACCAAATTATACCTATATTAATTGTATAGCGGACAATTGTAACTCAATCAACGACTCCGTCGGCACTATTTAGCCGGTATTTGTTGACAAAAGTAAACGTCTGGATTTCTTTGTGCCCGATGTGTGTCGGTATGTATGCTCTCATTGATACACAAGTAATTGATTGATTACTAACAAATGTCTTGAGTCGGCACTATTTAGCCGGTATTTGTTGACAAAAGTAAACGTCTGGATTTCTTTGTGCCCGATGTGTGTCGGTATGTATGCTCTCATTGATACACAAGTAATTGATTGATTACTAACAAATGTCTTGTTTTAACTGATTTATAGCTCACTATACGTCATATTTCAAGAAAAGGCGGTACACAAAGGCATCAAGACTTATATATACTCAGCGCCGGACGGCGTAATGGCCGGTTCGGACACGAATCCCGATAACGAGTGTTTCTGTGTGAACGACAACACAGACCACTGCCGACTGGACGGCGTGTACGACATGAGCGCCTGTCAGCACGACATACCCATCATCGTAAGTCTCCCGCACTTCTTGGGCGGCGATAAACGCATCACTGATCGCATCGAAGGTCTCAAACCAGACCCAAAGTTTCATAGACCAGTCATTCACGTCGAACCGGTATGTGATTAGCATTGATATACTTTTAAGTATTATGACTAATGATTTTGATGGTAATGTTTACAGACATTAGGTGCAGTCATTCACGGGGACAGCAAACTACAAATGGCCATAAGAGTGCCTAAGAATGACTACATTATAGGTTTTGAAACCCCCAACAATGACCGCTACATTCCCCTCTTCTGGGCTATAAGGTATGTGTAGTGAACCGGTGCCCGACCTTAAGGCCTGGGATGTGAAATGGGTTTTAAATAATGGTTTGTTTTGCTTTCATTTGCATTATGTGTACAGGAATTGGGTATTTCTGATGATTTCGCCGCAGATCTTAAGTCAAGACTATTCACACCAATAATTGTCATTAAGTACATAATTATAATAAGAATCATAACCGGGTCTTAGTGATAGAGAGGGTTGTGTAACACATGTTTACATGAATTGGGACTTTATTTGCAAGGATTGCCAAATGAGATAATGGACCAAATAATTGGATTTAATTGTTTTAAACACATATCACAATCCCATGCATACGCATACACTGTAAACAAGTTGTTTCAATGTTTTGATTGTAGTATAAAAATTAGCACAAAAAAAAATCTGCGGATCATAGCTTATATTTTATTTATAAAATACAGTAATTATAGTCAAGGAAAAAGTTAAATTATTGTTAAATAGTACAGTTCTAATGAAATGGTTAAAAATCACATTTTTGAATAAGTATTTTATTTCCTTATATTTTTCTATTATTATTTACAATATAACTTAAATAGTAATATCGGCTTTCATTGTATTTATTTTTTTTTTAAAATAAAATTATTAATTTACTACTCTAACAATAATTTTAAAAAGTTTATTATATGCGAAATTACTACCTTATTTTTATTAAGTTAACTATCAATGTTAAATTTGTGTCAAAATATAACAACTGTAAAATAATAAACAAATCAACAGGTGATGGTAATTATAAAAAGTATTATTTTGTAAAGTTTTCAATTTAAATGGAAAACATTTAACATTTATTACTACATTTTTATAAATTTTAGTTATGTCCCCGAGTGGTAAACAATACGTTGAGATTGATAAGGAATGTAATGTCAAAAATAAAGGCATTAAACGCAATGGCTAACAACGAACCGCACAGTTAATAATGCTTTAACTTAAATAATTATTAACTTTTAATTGTCCAACAATATTTAATTGTTAGATCTATATTTATAACCTTGGCAATATTAGTGGTGCTAAGTTCAGCAATAGAACTTAACTACAACCATAAAACCAAGAGTTTTGGCCTCAAACTAGTTATAAAACAATCATTATGTTATAATCTCAGCCATCAGTAACACCAAGTTGTTATTCAAGAGAGATCCGAAACATTTGAACACCATTAGCATAATATTACTAATGTTTATATCATTGGAATTGTTGGGCCGATCATACGTTCAGTCCGTGTTTTACAATAAGATCGGTCTTCGGCGACACAATACGGGCATAACTAAGGAGTTCTCAACCGCTAAGAAGTTCTTTTGGCTCAGAAACAGCTTGTATTCAATGTCCATATTTATTCTGATGAGGTGATTTACTTCCATATATAATTTAGAATTAAGATCGCATATTAAGATATTTATCAAGAAAAAATAATAATTATTCTTAATAATAGACTCAATAAGGTTATATACAGTTTTTTTTATTAGGTACGGCTATGCACTATTATACTACATTGCAACATATATTATCGTATAATTTTGATAACTCCATTCATTGTAATTTGTTATTAACATAGAAGTTAATAAATAATGTTATTCATATATTATTTAACTAATTTTTAATTTATTGTTTGTCACCCACCAGTGTAATATGCCCAGCGCCACATTCTCAGCAATATTTCAACTGCACATATTTGCACCGCTATTACTCCTATTGATCAAGCTTAAACACATTGGGTTCGCCATACTAGCCATACTGACCAGTGTTGGTTGCTTTTTAAGCATAGTACCAAGGTAATTCATGGACTTTCACATAATGCTCTATGAAGTAGATCGCATGGAATCTACACCCGAGATGAGCCATTCATTCATACACTACTTGGGCTCTACTGAGCAAAACATGTCGACATTCATCGTGAGTCCGGTGTGGGCTTATCTCATACACGGTAAACCTGAAGTACTCAACAAAGTGGGCAAAAAACGTTGTGCTTTGCATCTGGGTTAGTTTTTGCATTTTGCCCCAACTCGCCAGAGGGTGGAGCGAGACATTCAATGCCACTAAAGGGGGTTTTAAGGAGAAATCATTTTTTTGTCTGCTTTCTGAGTGGGCGTCGGGCTACGGATGGATTGTATACGCGTGTAGTACTAACAGGGGTTGTGAGTAAATATAATGAAATTTTATAATTCACATTTTATAATAATTAACTTTATTATAGATATTATTCAGCGGGTTTTCAACTACCAGCCCATACAACCATTGGCCAAACTGGCGTTTGGTATATACTTGTCGCACATCATTATTATAGGCACCCGACTGTTGGCCATTAGAGAGACTTATGTTATGACACACTCAGGAATTGTAAGCATTGGTGATCAAAACAAATCACTCGTTAGTTTACTGACAATTGTTTTCGTTACCAAAAATTAATTGCATTAATAATTCAATGTATTTAAATAAGTTTTAAAGAATTTATTTACAGTATATTAATAAATCATAAGATTTATTCAATAGGCCTTGTTAATCCATCATTTAACTTTGATAATATAATTTTGATTACTTAACTAATTGAAAATTTCTATTTGCAGTTTGAGGGGGCAATCATTGATTACGTGTTAGCGGTGTTAACGGCATATATGCTGTATATACTGATTGAATGTCCGGTTTATCATTTAATTAAAATAATTTGCGGACAACACGTATCGGAAGTAGAGAGGAGTGGTGTCTATTAAAGGACCAATATTTTATACATCTTAATATAATAATTAATAAATAAATATGAATTTTATAAATAACATTTTGCGATTTATTTTACTTATTTAATTAATCTGGTCTATTACGATCACTGTAATGATTGTATTAATTTTTCCTGTTTAGGCGTTTGTTTAATTGTTGTTTCAATTTAAAAATGACATTTAATGCGACAACCACCGAGCGCAAATTACAGGTATTTTATAATTAAGTGCATATTATGGTAAACTAACTTAATCTATAAGCAAATAATTTACAATTGTTATCGGAGCTCAAAAACTCACATAATTAACCCTAATATCAAAGTGTTGGACGTAAATAAAATTAAGGTAATTTTATTAAAAACTACTTCAATGTTTATAATGAGCCTAATTGTTTAAAATTAACTCTAATTTAAGTTTCATATGAAATAATAAACCTATGTTTTAAGCCAAATGTGATGATAATTAACAAATATTAATTGTTAACCACTTATACTGGAATAGAATACAACTCATAGAATAATATGTTAAATAGGAGTTCAATAACTTATTTACTGCGAAACTAAGCATATGTAGAATTTGATAAAATTCTTTAATTTAAATAAACTTTTTTAAACACATTTCAATTAATGTATAAAACCTTGATTTTATATCACTATAAAATCAAACTTCTAAATATTGGCCTAAATTGTTTATACAGTTTTAATAATTTTAACCTGCTTCATTGTTTTTATTATGAAACCACCAGTACCCGTAACATCGGTATTACAATAGAACATTACAATAAATTTACATTACTCATGTTAATTGCCATTATATAATCTTATTTAGTAGATTTACCAACTAATAGTAAGCCCAAACATGTCTTGCAATTTCTTAAAAGGTATTTTAAATTTATTTAAATTTATATAAATTTAAATTTAATTTACATTTATACGCAAATTATTTGGTATTTTAGTGTTGAGCCGTATATATACGGTGGAAGTCTGTGTGGGGCCGGAGGCGGAAGTTTTGTCTGTCTTATTGGCGAAAGTGAACTCGAAATCACTGTCAATGATATTACAGATAATGCCTTTAAATAAAATATTTTCATAAATTAGATGTCATACCATATTATATGATATGTTATACAACACACATATTTTAAAAATTTATAAAACACTGATTAGATTATAAATTTAAAAATAAGCATGCACCATTTATTAAAATTTAAATATTTTATCAAACAACTTGGACTATCAATTCGAGCAACACATCCCTGACCTGTCGGTCTCTCTATCGCTAACATTAATAAATTATCCAACTTTTAATTCTAGTTCAAACAAATAATTTCAATATAAGCTTAAAACTATTCTCGAAATTAAAGTAAAAGTTTTCAGTCGTGTATAGCCTTCGAGGCGGCGCTCGTACTGAACACAAGCGATGCATTGAACTGTTTTCTCCTCAAAACGTGTTTTGCAATTTTGTCATTCAATCAAATCGTTTTTGTTTTCAATTTGACGGCTTTTCACACCTAATGTTTGGTATATAAAAACTTTTACTCACTTTTAATTACTTGAATGAAAGTTACAACTCTATGAGAGCTATAACTAGCGATTCATTATTAAATGTCATTGAGATTTTTATTTGATATTCAAATTTTGCAATTAATGGGTAAACTGGATTAATCAATAATTTATTAATTGCATGAATAATACAATATTACAATCATTACAATAGATTGTTGGGTCAAAATAATTAGTTAATGATATAAAAGAGACGTAAACTAAATTTTACGCTTAAAGTACTATTGGGTTTGCCTTTAGGTTAGGTTTTTAAATACAATGTTATTTAGTTTGAATTACAAGTCATTCTGACCTCAAATGTTACACAATTTACTGTTTATAGCCCTAATTTAATTGTTAAAAATACAAAATTGACCATATTTAATGATTATAAATGTGTGCTGGGCAATATCTAAATAGTATACCTAGCTGTATTTGTGCAATATAAGCTTTTTAAGTGCATTAATAAAATTGAATGCTTTCATGCATTTTATAATATGCTGTATATGTTTCACAACTAATAAATTGTTTAAATAAACTATAAGTTAATATAATTATCAATTAAATTGTTTACATTTAAGTCTCAAATAAGTGTACAATAATGTTATTTAGCGATAATATTGTTATTATGTTGGCAATTGTAAATTCATGACAATGTTATCATCACATCTAATAATAAAAATAATCTAATAATTTATCTTTAAATATAAGTAATAATAATACTATAAAAGTTGTATTATTATTGGATTGAATGCATTTTATTTTGTATGAATGTTACATATGGAAGCATAAAGTAGAGATCTATAATGTATTTTATAATTTAATAAACTCATGGTATTCTCGTATTTTTGTTTCAAAAGTGAGTTTTTAACGCTTATAACCAGAAGAGGGGATAAAATAGTGTTTAAATTTGTATTTCTATTATATTTTTGAGTATTTTAAAAATAATTATGAGTGAGTTCTCAATTATTAATGTATTTTTAAATTACTTTTAACAACATGTTTGCCAACTTTATAATTGCACATGTGTTTTACATATTTGAGTTTTATTCGAAAAAGTTTTTAGTGAACAATTTTATATAGAGTTTTATTTTATACTTATTATTTTTCTATTAAAATTTAACTAATAATGATAGATAAGAGTTTTTGTTATTTTTCTAATAAATAAATAACTTTTTATTATATTGTGATTTACAAATAAAGGATTGCGTAATATTTGTAAAATTAAAAACATTTAATATTTTTATTATTATACTATAACTAGCGCATAGTTTCTGATAACTCGAGTTAAAGCAGTGAAATGTGAAATCAAAGCAAACATATTAATCAATTCAAAACAATTGTTTGCAATGTATGTCAAGTTATTCCCAATAATTTAATATTTACAATATATTTATTAACCGTTTGCCAATTGTATTAAGCAGTGAAATGTGAAATCAAAGCAAACATATTAATCAATTCAAAACAATTGTTTGCAATGTATGTCAAGTTATTCCCAATAATTTAATATTTACAATATATTTATTAACCGTTTGCCAATTGTATTAATCACTGATTGTTTTTATTTACAGCGCCTTTATCACCAATTTTCTATTGATTTGTGTTTTGGCGACTTTTTGTGACTAGAGTTTTGATTTTGAAAGTATTATACAATTTTTTCTGGCAACAAATATATTTATAAACTCATATACAGTATAATATTTACAGAGAATTCAAATGGTTTTGTATTTGTCAGAGCCTTCTCTGCGAGAAAAACATATAACAGACTCATAGGCGGGTGTTGAAGTGCCCTAAATAGTACATAAGTACCGTAGTCTCATAATTGGTAACAAACCTATAACAAACCTGTGTCATAAGATACCTCATTAAAAGTCAACAAACCAGTCAGGATCTAATAATCGCATAAAAAAATTTGCTTGAAATTAATATTATATAATTAAAACAAATAAATGCGGTGAAATTAATAGCCCGAAGCTTTCATGGGAAGGATTTGTTGACAAACTTCATGGTACAGCCGCTACTCAATGGAGTCTATGGTGTCTCAACTTTTCTACTCATTAGGTATTTTAGCCAAAAGTGTTATTAAATTTTCACATCATATAATGTTGTTACACTGTTTTAGTATTATTAACGCATTAATGTTACCACAATGATATAATTCATGTTTACATGTTATTATGGTATTTTGTGATAATTATTTTAATTTTGAGATTATTATTTTTTTAGCGGAATTCTCACTAATTATATCGCACTGTCGGTAACCAAAGGCGATGTCAAGAAATTCAATGTGGTGCTATATATTGTGTTACGTTTGGCCCGACTTTTGCCACAATTAATGATATTTATATTATTGACATTTTTGTTACCACTGTTGGGTTCGAGCCCTCTTTGGGCTGAAGTGGTCGGCAGTAATGTTGACAAATGTGAGACCAATTGGTGGCTAAATCTGCTTCTCATTCAAAATCTCTACAAATCTGATCAAATGGTATACCTTTTAAAACTAATAAACTATCATAATTTTTAAATAAATGCAACTAAATCCTTACATTTAATTTGGAAATAGTGTGCGATTCACACCTGGTTTATAGCCCTAGACTTTTAATACCATATAATGACAGCCGCATTGATATTAGTATTTCTTTATTTTAAACATTGCAACGATTGTAATATTTGCCATCATATCAACCATATTGTGGTATATCAATGAATTGCCGCCGGCGCTCATCGCCACCGGTCGCACATAAGCCTATCATAACCAAAACATTAATAGGCTATAACTGAACAAAAGCTCAATTCTCATAGAGAATATATTGAAAAGTATTTCAGTTTCACAATACATAAAATACCAGGGTCCTACAGTACCGTCTATTTTATGGGCACTCTATTGGGATCTGCATTGTATCGCAAAAAGTCATTGAATTTAAGCAAAGTATGTGTCAATAATTCTGTTCATTATTTCAAGTTTTTAAAATTTACTGATTTTTATCTCAATTACAGTCATCGCTGACTATCGTCTGGATTGCTATATTGAGTGCCTATTGTATCCCATTGTGGGATAAAATCTACTGGAATTACGGCCAGTCGTATACACTTGTAGTTTTCGGCCCTGTTTTATAATTTCTGCCTAATTATTTGGACGGTCTGTACGTCACTAATAATATGGTTGTGTATATCGGGAAAGGGAGGGCTAATCAACTCATTTCTATCCGATAGAATCTATCGCACCGGGCATTTGTACCGATGGCTCAGTTGACATATAGTGTGTATTTATGTCACGCGTGACTCATATGGTATTTCATGGGTTCGCGCCGTCATGTGATGGACACTCATATGTATAACGTATTGATTAATTTCATACACATTACTGTTATGTCATATATAATGGGATTCAGTATTTATGTCACGCGTGGCTCATATGGTATTTCATGGGTTCGCGCCGTCATGTGATGGACACTCATATGTATAACGTATTGATTAATTTCATACACATTACTGTTATGTCATATATAATGGGATTCTTATTCTTCATTGTGTTCATTGAAATAACAAATAAACCTCATAATTAAATAAATGCTATTTTTATGTTTATATCAAGCTGAATTTAATTTTTTTTTTGGTATATTAAATTAAATGAAATTTAATAATGAACCTTTAATAACTCTTTAAATAACACTATTTTGTTAATAATTATGTTTAAATACCATTTGAAAAACATTAGTTAATAGTAATATGTTTCCTAACCATATGCTGCAGAATAAAATCTAAAAAGTTTTTGATTTTAACCCAAATGTGTGCATATGTTATATTATTTTTCCATTATTATTAAATTTATTTATTAGTTGTTAACAATTTTACTCTTAATTATCCAAAAACAAAATGTTTTTGTGTATTTCATTACAATATTTTTAAACAGTATTGTATTTAAGGTTGTTATCATAAATGGTGTGTTATATTTAATTGTTTTAATTTTTTGTGTTATATGTTTAAGTCATTGACTCTTAAGTAAACATTAATTCATTTATCATATAATATATTGAATACAATTCTTCCAATGCTTTTCACAACAATTTATGAAATCATATGAAATCAAATCCAATTGTTTGAAGACGTTTTCAACTTTTTCATGGTGTCTCGTCTGTCTGTTGCATAAAACAAAAGTTTGCTTTGTGTTTTTGTTGTGTCTTATAATATAAACAATATTCTCCTCATTATAATAATGTTTACTTCAATTTTAGGATAATTTTGGGTATAAATAAAATCCCAAAATATAAGTGAGAAAAACAAACAACAAAAAAAAACAATATACAATTAATTTTATGTGAACCAAATTATTACCACTAATTCTACTGTTTTTATACCGCATTCTCATCCCATAAACCGCTGATATTTTCATCTTTTCCCTCAATATCTCAATACAAAAACCAAATCGTGAGTTTCTTCAAATATTTACCATCGATCTCATCATTAAGTGGTGTATAAAAGTTAACAGAATTGTATATCCTTTGCCTTAACAAAATAATTTGCACCTTTNATAAACCGCTGATATTTTCATCTTTTCCCTCAATATCTCAATACAAAAACCAAATCGTGAGTTTCTTCAAATATTTACCATCGATCTCATCATTAAGTGGTGTATAAAAGTTAACAGAATTGTATATCCTTTGCCTTAACAAAATAATTTGCACCTTTTTTGCACACTTTAAACACAAATGTCAGCACAAAAACACATCAGAAGTTAACATTTCGACCAATTTTATCGCAATTAACAAACAAATCCTATGTTTTACATTCAATTGACACAAATATATCATTACATTAATATTTTAGAAGTTGTTGTCATGTCTTGTTTTGTATGATTTCTCTATCATGTATTGCATAAATATTTGAATTCATTCAATAAATATACAGTTATAATGCGTTTGAGTTGAGAGATTACTATTTTGAAAGCTTTATAATGTATTAAATTACTTAATGAATGGCAGAAAAGACCGTATTTAACGATAATTATGGATCAATAATTAGATGCGAGGGATAATAAATGCCATAAAACAAGAGGTGAT